GATAGACTAGATAGGTCCTGCATACACAGTGTGTTCTAATACAAACTATATAAAATATGTTGCTCGTAGATCACCTATTAGTTTGGCCTAACATTTGAGGTTTGGCAGATCTTTGGAAGCATATGGATCTATCCATTAAAATTTATGATGTTAGAAATCTTGATTTGTTCTTCTTTCATTCTGGAACTGTGATGTACATAGTTTGGTAGAGAAGTTCTAAACATTCTCTTCAAGAGATTTCATCACTTCTCAAAAACACCTTATCCTAGAATCCATTCTAACAGGACATTGTGAATGGCTTCTGGGCCACTATAGTTTAAACCATCCAAGAGGAATATAATGGAGCTAAATAAGCCTGGTATCGAAGAAATACACAGTAAAAAGATTTAAATGTAGTCCCGATAAGAGGTTTAGGGATGGTTAGGGATATACTTAGCTCGAGATGCAGACTTTCAGTGAACATTATAATATTTTTTCATACAAACTTATTATTATAGTGCGTTTAGACATCTCGTAAATTAAGGAAACAACAGAGAGAGAATTATTTTATTTTCATAAAAAGATGCTGCAACTCTCAACAAACTCTCTCCTTATCCGCTCCTATGCACAGGGTGGTGGATGATTCCCAGGGAATCGAGGATTATATTCTCTGCCAACCTTGCCACGTTCTTTATGTCGACGCCAAGGCTCTTAAAGAAGCTCCTTGTTGAGTTTCGTATCGTTCCGCGAGCTGTGAACCAAAGGTATCTCGCGTTGAACTAACAGGCCTTATAACCCCTCTAATATAAGCCCTCTAACTTAACTAACAGCGATATTAGCGTCGCTAAGCCAAACTTTTTTTTATTACTCTTGTTACCGACACTCTGTACAAAAGCACTCATAGAAAAACAATCATTTTGATATTTTTTATGGTCTCGTAGTTTTTGAAATGTCTTAACGCACCTTTACATTATTTGAGTTTCTTAAAACGGAGCATCGAATATTTTTCAAATTCTTCATTGAAAAGGGCGCATACTTTGATGAAAGGAAACATATTAGGAACCGTTGTAGGAGCTTTGAGTTATTAATATATAATTCGTTATCTACTGATAGACAAGATCATCTCTGTATTTGTCAATATATCTTTATGCATAGTCGTTTGAATTATGTAAGTTATTGCCATCATTTCTATACCATTGTTTGCAAGGGATAAAGAATAACAAATAAAAAAACAAACTGTACAACTTAGTACCCAAGGACTCAAATTACTAGATAAGAACGAACTGATCTAATACCAGTTGTTATCTCAGACAGAATACGTAAGCGGTTCGAAATAGGAAGTGAGATTTCGGTTTTGAAAACATCCAATTGCTACATCAAGAAATTATGGAAATGAATTTCAAACATTAGCTATAGTCGTACTTGGAAAGTAATTTCCATTAGTTCATTTATTAGATATTGATTTATAAACAGTGTAGTGTATAACCACAATTATAACTTGTTTTATTGCTCTTACAATTTTTAAAATTGTCAGTTTTATAATTTTGAGTTTCGAATTTTTTTTTTTTATTTGCCTAAATCATAACTAAGATTTTCAAATTAATATGAAACATTATACTTTTTTGTGTGTATGTGAATTTAAGAAAATATACATTTCAGCACTATGAAGTTTGATCTCTAAAATCTTTTCAAAATATCGTAAGCATGAAACTAAAGTCGAAGATTATTTTTAAAAACAGTATTTGGAAAAATGCATTTAAATTTCAAAAAATGTATATAAGGGTTTTTTTTTTTCAACACTCCCCAAAAATGTAGGTTATGCTGATTTGAATTAGGTCGGGACGAGTTGAAATTTATTTTTGGCAATCACAGTATGAATCCCGTTCCTCTCTGGTACGCCCCCATATATCAGATTAGAAAGGTAGGAGGGAAACGGAAAAAAATAGCATGTATGAAGGATACACTTAGGTTACACAAATTATAAGGAATTTATAATAGCCACAATTTAGCTAATTAAAAGAGATGAATATTCCAAATAAGACTTCAATCAAAGCTCGTAATTAATCATCCGTAATGCATATTCCTCTCAGAGGACTTTAAATAATGTATATATAACATTTATCACTTGGGATATTCATCAGAATGCAAAAATTAAATGAACGCATGTTGAATGTGAGTGGCTTGCTGTCTAAAATTACACTGTCAGTTCACAACTTGTATGAAATATGCAACTATAATATATTTTACTTTGTCTACTCAACAATAAATTTATAAATAGAAGTATAAAAATAAAAGATCCTGCGAATCTGTGCATCTATTCACACAGCGTTTCCCAACAGCTCATTCATAAAATTTTGTAAGCAATAAATTTTGGAACTCATTTCAAAACATGGTTCCAATTCAAAGGATAACGCTCCGTAATGGCCAGGATGTCCCTCCTTTTCCTTTTCTTCCACGCTCTTTTGCTTTATTTCGGGGACATGTGAAAGAACTCATAAGACGTACTCTGCGTTGTGTAACACATTGTGCAATGGTATTCATTCCTTGTTTATGATAGGACAGACTTTATGGTTTCTTTTTGATTGTCTGATGTTGAGATTGGCTTCAACTGTTTGTTTTGTAATATTAACTGATCAACTAGCTAGTTAAGAATACTATACAACAGGAAATTACCTGGTAGGGATGGTACTTCGAGTCATGAATGTTGAAGGTAACGAAAATGGTTTCAAAACAAAAAATATATTAAAGATCAAACACTCAAAACTGTAAGCAACTTTGAAACAAACTGTAAGCAAACTGTAAAGTAACTTTGAACAGTTAAGTCATTCAAAACAAAACATTATATTGAGAACTGATCTACTGGCGTCTCTTCGTTTTTAAAAAATAATCAACTACACTCTGCATACATTGAATCAGAACCAATGGTTGATTTAATTTTTAAAAAAGCTTTATCTACTTTTATTCCCAGCTACCCAGCTGTAAATGTATTAGCTTTAAACACACGAACATAACCTATGAACTCGTTGATTGAAATCCTCGTAAAACAATATATGTATATTTTCTTTATTTTTTTAATTTTATTCATCTATTTATTTATTTTATATCCTTTTTAATTAATTAATAATTTTAATTTAATTAAAAACTTTAATTATTAACATATTATTATTCATTTTTACAATATATTTTTTTTATGAAGGAGTCAATCACTATGGTCATTATTCCCTTCGCGTCAATTTACGATCATTAAACTAATCAATAGTTATATACAATGTGCAGGGGTGCCCATCCAACTCAATGTCGATGGCGCTAAACCCTATCAATAAATTTTTCTCAATATTTTTCTTTCAAAAATATTCAGCATACTAATTGTGCTAGTACAAAGTATCCATTTCTCCACTGTATAAGTCACAATAGGTCTTACTAAAGTCTTATATAATCTTATCTTTGTTTCTCGTGACAGGAACGAACGATGGTCGAAAAAATTTTAGGTTGGCATAGTACGCCCGATTTCCAGTCATGATCCTCTTGCTTACAGCAGCAATTTTATTTTTAATATATTTTTTAATTTAATTGATGTTTTCTTTAAACAAAATTGTCTACTTTACGGTGGTGTACTTAGAATTTAATTATCTTGAACAGTTTTTGAGCAATCCCATCTTATTCAATAAAAACTACCTTACGAAAAACACAAAATTGGTCTTAACTCCTTCTCCGCTTGGAATCGGTCTATGCAACAAATGAACTTTTTTGTAGAAAATTTTGTCTAGAATCACCAGAATTTGCATATTAATAACTAAGACACCCTTTGTTTTAAAAAAATAAATAAATAAAGTTTTCACATCTTCTCGCTGTTCAAAACGGCAAGCATATTAATTGACTGATACTAGTTAATAGTCCGTGGTACAGATCCCTTTCTAGCAAATTATTAACATCCGCCTGAAACTTCGTATATAGCTTCATCTCATCGTAACCTTAAAAGTATTTTATTTACGAAAATTCTCGGAATTGAGGCGTCTTCAATCTGCAGTCGGCAAACTTTGTTTATTTTATGAGGGACTAAAAACGCGTATATACCCACTTGCTTTCCACTTGAATCGTAAGATAACTTCCACAAAAAGTTGGGGAAAAAGGTGGCCTTCAAAAATATTGAGCCGTTTGGCGAGACCTACACTTCCAAATTGTCAAAACAACAAGGTTATATTGGCCAAACGGCCCAATATTTTTGTAGGCTACCTTTTTTATCGATTTTGTGATCAAATCATCTTACGAACCAAGTGGGAAACAAATGGGTATTCACGGGTTTTGAGTACATAATTAAATAGACAAAGTTTGTCGACCTCCAGATTGAAAACCCCCCAATTCCGAGAATTTTCGTAAATCAAATAGGTTACGATGAGATGAAGCTATTTACGAAGTTTCAGACGAATGTTAATAATTTGCTAATAATAATTAGTTTAATGATAAGTCATATGATCCATAGGTAAACCATAATTATGAAATAACAGGGCCGAAAATAAAAGGTAGGAGAATTGCAAGTACAAGTATACCTGCAGCAAAATTTAGAGAGAAGCAAATTTTGAATGAAATTTTATTTTAAATTAAGGTATTGCAACAATCAATTTGAACAACTGTCAAATAAATAAATAATACTAAATTGGGGTTGAATAATTAACAAAAATAGTAAAAATGAACAAAGTCTATAAACAGAACTTCTTTGTAAGTAAGCCAAGCAAAATTCAAATAGACAATGAAAATTTCATTGTTTATTTTTTTTTAAGTTTGATTCGAAAGGTACCTCACAGTGTGCTATGGTAGAAGTTAGACTAAGAAGAAGAAAAAAATTCAATTTAAACACGATTTTTGAAATAATGAAAGTTTCAACTTTGATATAAAATTTGTTTTCATTTATGCTTTTTAATCATATCATCGAGTTTTTAATTTGCCATTATTATTTTTTAAATATTGTATTATAGTTGGCATTGATTTTATTCAGATTAATTTTTTATTTCATCTTTTTTTAGGTAATATGACTAATCAAACCAGTGTAGAAGACTATTGGGATTATCTTTTCGTTAAATTAGCAGGTGAGCAAATTCTTTTATATTATTTTAAAGCATTATCAAACTCATTTATATTACAACTATCAAACATTACTTTATTCTAGCATTAAAAGACACCAATGAATCACTTCGAATCAAAAGGTTTTAATATGCTTAAATGAATCAATGATGAATTATTTAATCTGAATTAAATTCACATTGTATAATTTCATCCACCAAAGTCATTTTCAACCGAACCAAAACATTGACGCCATTGTTTTGTAGGAATGACAAACCTCAAAGCTCTAAAACTCAGTGACAAGAAGCAATATAATCCAAAACATTTTTCATACTTACATTTCATGCCAAAATTAATTTAAACTTTCTGTGCAAAATCAACTTTGTCATTATAGTAATGTGCATCTGGTATGCATCGGTCATAAAACAATTAACAACTTACAATTTTGGTTTAACTTACAATCCGGGTAAGGAAAGTATTGTTTTTCTAATCAGATAGAAATGATTAATTCATTTAATTGGAGATAAAATGAAATTAAATAATATAAAAAATATTTTAAATTAAAAAAATTTCATCCTAAAAATATATTTAAAAAATAAAACTGTGGAACAAAAAGCCTAAATCTAGGGTAAGATCCAAATTGACAAGTTTGGTATTGACAACAGAAATATGTAGTCATAAAAACATATTTCATCAAACAAAATTTTACTTGGAACCATCTCAATATGTTAAAGGTGATTTCTCTATTGTTGACATATTTATGTTTTTATCTCAGTAATGTTTAATATTTGTAATATTTTTGTTTTTATCTGTAATGAGAATTGTACATGGTTTAATTTCATACTTATTTTCAATAAAAATTTTCATCTTTGTTCAGATCACCGAACTAATCATTGGCCTCTAGTTGGAAATCCAATACACATATTTTCTCTGATGGCATTGTACCTCTTATTTGTACTTTCATGGGGACCAAAACTCATGGAAAAAAGACAACCTTACAATTTAAATAGGATGTTAATTTTATACAATGGAATTCAAGTGTATGTCAGCGTATGGCTGTTTTGGGAGGTAACATTTCTGTTTATAATTACTTTCTATATATTTTTTTTCTTTTATAATATAATATTATTGATATGGGTGATAAATATTCAAGACACAGTCATTTTAAAGTTTTTACTGGTGCCAACATATCAACCCAAACATGTGCGTCATCATCAGGGCTGAAAATTGTTCCATAAAATCAGAGATATGATAGTATAAGACAGATAATGGTTGACAATGAAAAAAAATTGGCGATACATGAAATGGACAAATGAAATATGTAATAAGTAAAAAAAATTAAAATTCCTACCAATAAAAATCTCATTTCCTATAATTCTACTGCTCCCCAATGCTATGGCTTACCAAAAATCCATAAACCAGGCAATCCTCTCCAACCTTAACATAAATTCTCCATCATCTAAACTCAGTAACTTTCTCCTCCCTTCCATCCAGTCTCTAAGCCAAAACAACCCATATGATATAAACAATTCCTTCCACCTATTAGAAAACCTAAAATCCTTGAACATACCACCAAATTTCATTCTAGCCTCCCTAGATGCACTTCTTCACTAATATTCCTACAGACCGTGCTCTGATTGTCCTAAATAATCTCATTGACTCCATATTATCACAATTTCCTAATGATATTTTTTTTCATTGAAAAATATTTGAATATGCATTATTCTTTAGTTTGTATAACTTATTACATATTTCATTTGTCCATTTCATGTATCATCAATCACTATTTCTTTTTTCATTGTTAACCATTATCTGTCTTATTCTATTATATCTCTGATTATATATCAGAGATTATACAATTTTAAATATTAAACAATGTAGAATATTAAACAATTTTCAGCTTTGATGATGACCCACATGTATGGGTTGAAAGGTCGGCACCAATAAAAACTTTAAAATGACTATGTCCTGAATATATATCATCCATGACATGTACATGCAATGAACAAATGAAATATGTATAAGAGCTTCAAATTAATATGTATAAGTGAAACTCTTGTATTTTATTTTCTAGAAAGAGTAATTATTGAATGAAAAGAAAACAGTAAACTACTGCAAGTTTTTTGGAATTGAAAATAATTGTTTTCTTAAGCATAAAACTTAAGTTAAAAATAAAATTTAGGACAAATCAATGTAACAATGTCATATAGAAGAATATAAAAAATGATCCTTCACCAAAAAAATGAAAGAAAACTCTGAAAATAATTTATCATAATTCTATACTTTTCTAATTTGTTACCCGATTTCTCTAGGCTTAGAATAATATTATCATGTATTCATTGAGCCTTAAGAATAAATTCATTCTATACCAGTGCTTTAAGGAAGAAATTCTTTAGAAAAAGGAGTAAATAAAAAAGTTGAAAATAACAATAAATACCGAAATTATCAATTTGATTTTTGGAAAAATATATTGTTTACTAAGAAAATAAAAAAACAATATTTTTCAAACTGGTGGAAACTACACTTTAGAGAAAAATACATTGAAGTCATTCCTTCTATAAAATATATTTATGTAAACTAAAAAATATATTTATGTCAACTAAAAAATATATTTATGTCAGGTGATCAACTTTTTAGTGCTGCTCTCCTATGGCATTTATTTTACAAATTATACAGCTGTTCATTTAATTACATATGTATTGAGCTCTTGTTACCTCCTACTCTCCTAATACCAAATAAAGATTTTAGACTAAAAATTTCTATCGGAAATGGTATTCATCTGGAAGTGGTAGTTTGATTTGATCTTGATCTAGTGTCAGCAGTTATTTTTCAATCTAGACATTTCCCCTTGAATATAATATATTAATTATTATATATAATGTTATTTATATTATACTGTGATATAATTATAATTATTATGAAATAGAAAAGGAAGTATAACGTACAATGGAAATATTAGAAGTAAAAACCTACATAGAGTTGCATGAAATATATTTATTCTATTTATGGAATTAGGTCTGAGATGCTCAATGTGTATTTCTCAGTCGATGGGAATGAAAATATTAATTTTATTTATGAGATTAAAAATTTTGAAAAATATATGAATATTTCTAGAGATAATTTACAGAAAATCACTGGAAAATCAGGAATTAATTTTGAAAATTCTTAATAGCTTCAATAAATTTAGTCACTTAAGTAATGGGTTTCAAAGACACATAAAATAAATAAAAAGCATATTGTGAAGAAATTAGAAAGAATATTAAATGTCTTTCTGCGATCAAGCCCCGATTTCTGGTAGCACTATGCGCCTTTTAGTTTAGCTGTCCCCTTCTTGTTCAGTTATCTCTCATCCCCTGATTTTAAAATTTTACAAATTTAACCTTGTTTATCGTAAGCTTTATACTTGTATACACGACTAAATAATATAATTGATTTTTAAAAAACAGGTTGTTTGTTCCTTCTTACTTAATAAATTATTGATTTAGTTAATATGGTTGGTTAGTATCATTAACATAAACTATCTATAGAATACTGTATATAGTTAAACTATAGTTAAACTGTAATCAATTAAACTTTTAAAGCTATTTCTAAAGTATGTATTTATGGTCTCATATTTTTAAGAACTCTGCAATAGTTGGTATAAACTAATATTTCCCTTCGCAGTACTATACTTTGTCTGTGGCGGTAATGTATGATGATATTATACATCTTTCTGTTGTGTTTTAATTGTTTGGTAGGTCATGTGTTTTTGAAAATGAAATCAAAATCATACACTATAAACCTTATCTATATTTCCCGACACTCATTTTTTACATTATTTCTATTTTTTTACTCCTCCAATTTTCTCGCCCCTTAAAAACAGATGCTCTAGACTCTACTCCATTTGAAAATAAGAGTCCCCATGTAATATTCCTAAGCAAATAGTAAAGTACTGCGTAATCATGACTCAATGGCCATCCTTGAATATAAAATAGCTGTTCATAAATAGATTTTTCAACTACTTAAGATCTGGGAACAGAAAGTTTAACAATGATTAAAGTTTAAATCAAACAAAATAAGCAAACTTCATCTTCTGGCTGTGCATATACCAGACTGCCTTGGCAATGATAAAACCTTATGGCAACATTTCATTTAAATTATATTAAAAAAGAATATTTCACATAACATGTTTTTATAAACCTTAAAAAATATCTTTTATAAATAACTCTTTTTTATGTAATATGATATATTATATACGTTAATTATAAATTTTATAATTTATTTTTAGGGTATAGATATGGCTTGGAGGTATAAATTCAACTTTGTTTGTGAACCAGTTGACTGGTCAGAAAATGAAGAGTCTATGCGAGTAGCTAGAGGCTTCTATCTTTTCTATTTAGCAAAAATATCAGAACTTGCAGATACAGTAAGTTCAAACTCTATAGACTATTTTTATTCAATGTTGGTTAAAAATAAATTTATTAACTAGATCTAATGTATCCTTGCTAATGCAGGTAAGAAATTTTTTAATCATTAGGCAAACACAAAACGGTTCAGCCCCTTTTTCTCCTCTATTATTCAACATGTTTTCTTCCTTCTTTTTTTGTTGATTAACTATTGACGAGCTTTAGTGTTATCAATAAATAAAAATATGAAATAGTTTGTAAATAAAAATATAAATGGTAGTTTGTTCAAAACAGCTAATCCCTGAAAGTTCTTCACTGATTTCTTTGAAATTTTGATGCTACATCGCAATAATATTTAGAAGTCTTTTGGTTTACGTTTCATTATCATCAGGCCTTTCCTTTCAAAATGGTTGCAGGAAAACGTGATTCACTTTAGATTGTAGCTCCAATACGGCTTTAACGATTTTAATGAAACTTGGCTAAAGTCTTCCACTTGAAATATTTATTATTTATGTATATAATATATTTTCCCAAAAAACAAGTATTATTTACGAATAACTCAAAAACCACACATTTTTTATTGTGTACTTTTTTAAATTTATTTGAAAGCTTCCTGAATTCCCTACAAAATAAAAATAAAAAATCATCAAAATCGGAGTATATGTTGCAGAGATATATCATTTTAAACATTTAGTACTTTTTCTTTTGCAAAGTCAATCTCCTTTATTTTGGTTTTTGATAAATCGAAAACTTTACATTTAATGAAGTGATCGGGAGTATTATTTGAAGAGATGATATCATTGAATATTAGTGGAATATTAGCTCATAAATTAAATTTAAAAATAAATTCTATAGTTATACTCATTCTTAACTGAAATACTGCACAAGCATTAGTTATTGGAACACGAATGAGGGTGAAGTACTAATTGGAGCTACTTTAAATAAAAGAATTTTAATTTCAAGAATTAATTTAATATTTTCTGACACAATACTTCCATTTGAATTTCAAAGAACAACGTTCTTATTAATAGCTGCATTTGCTATGACCATAATCAAATCGCAGGGTCAATGTTTTGGAAAAATTTGTGAATTATTGCGACTTCCAGTAATTTCGCATGGGCAATTATATGTGGCAGCAAGTAAGTAGAGCACGTTCATTTAAAATTTTGAGGTTTATATTTCCAATGGCAATGTGCAAGGCTATGTACTAAACAATAACAGAACATCCAAAAAGAACATTGTTTACAGAGAAGTTCTGCATAAAAATGGATTTAAACTCAGTTGAAATTGCTAATTTAAATTTATTTTTTACTTGCTTAATCATAACATTAATTTATTGTGATGATAACACACATAAATTAAATGGAAATTAAATATTTTGAATGAGTCTATTTTGTATTACTTATAAATAATTTTAAGTAATTTAAGCTTGATTTTTAATTGAAATTGACATTATGTTTATAATAATAAATGACGATTTTGGAATCCTGATTTACTCTGTATTAATTGAATTTATTTTTTATTTAATTATGTTTTCCTCAAATTTTTAATGGCTATGGTCGAATTTTGACCACTGGATAAACACTAGTACTAATAAAACAGCTGAATTATAATAAACAGCTATATTATATTTATTAATTTCACAAACATAAAGCAATCTAATATTTCATGGTACGATTTATAATCCCCATGATAGTCTAAGAAGATACAAGGGAACATGGCCAAAACTTGAAATAGATTATTTTCATGCTTTAAATGCAATAGGGAATTATAATAACGAAGTAGATAATTGCCACAGACATCTTCATTACAGAAGGTAAAGGATTTGTTCTCCTGTTTTCTTCCTGACTACAATGTTTTTTAAAATCATAAATCCGTTGTGAAAAATGAGTTTCAATGATAATCATAAAAAGTTCAGGTAAATGGTTAGATAAGAAAGCTTTGAAATTGAGCTTGTACATCTCCAAAAATCGTACTGTTCAAAAAGTGATTTAATTCATTTGAAGTCAATTGAAAGGGGCAATAATCCTCCATGATAATGGTAAGCTTCATGTTTCAAAACTGTTTAAGCATAAATCCTCATGAATAGAAAATTGAAGAGCTACAAACCGTTCAAAGGCCTTAATCACTGCCTAACTACTATTTAATCGGTTGGGAGAGGACCATAATTCAATAATCTATAATATCTTGCATCTTTTTAAAAATTGGAGTAAATATACTGAAGCTAGTGAGTCATATATTTTATTTATCAATAAATCATTTGTTAATCATTCTTATATTACTAATGGTAGCACTAAAAATGGCTTTCTTTTAAACAGAAATAGATATTTTACAATTTATTCAACTGTTACTGTGGAAGCTATGTAAAAAATACTATAATAGGCAAACAAACAGGATAAGCGACAAAAACCAAGAAAGGAAAAATTAAAATCATCCCAGATAGTGTTAATTTCAAAACACATATTATTAAAGTATTAATTATTCCACTTATAATACTAATGAGTAAATAAATTTAAAAAATATTTATCAGTTAGTGTTAAATTTTATTTCACACATTAAACTACCATGAATAAATATCACTGCTATTCTGTTTCAGGTATTTTTTGTTCTTAGAAAAAAATATAATCAAATCACTTTCCTTCATCTTTACCATCATACTGGCATGCCACTTATTTCATGGAGTGCAGTGAAGTATTTTCCTGGAGGCCATAGTTCATTCATTGGATTTGTTAATAGTTTTGTACACATAATCATGTATACTTATTATATGTTTGCAGCAATGGGTCCTAAAGTTCAAAAGTATCTGTGGTGGAAAAAGTATCTTACAACACTTCAATTGGTAAATTTTAAATATTTCAGTAGAGAATTGATTAACCTTAGATTGTGCATATATTTTGTTTAATTCATAAAAACAGCCTGTTTATCTGTACCTTACTAATTTTGGGGATGGCAATTTTAATATGAATAAATACAATAACAATTTATTAGTTAACTAATATAAATGTATGCCTTTAGATTATCAATTTTCGAATTGTATGTACCACTGTAATTTGAAATATATGTCTCTCTATAGGCGTGGGATATATCGCGTTATATATTATATATTATTATACTATTGTATGTTCCCTTTAATCTAATTAATGTTTCAATTGATTTACAATCCCAAATCTAACAAAATAGAAATGTCTCTTTTTATTTCCCTTGATTATCTGTGGTACAGAATTTATTAGCTTCATTATTAGCAATTTTATTGTTGGTTATTTAGATCTTTATCCTCTATGAAGATTGATTTTTCATTATTTGAGAGGTGAAGGCCTATACTTAGCAGAATAATTACATTTAATGCTCGTTTGGTCATTTAGGACCTATTTAATGTATTTAAACTGTAATAAACTAAAATTACTTTGAGTATTTATTGTCTTAATATTGTTTTACATTACAGGCACAATTCTGCATGACGTTCCTTCATTCAATGCAATTGTTATTTCATGACTGTGGTTATCCAAGGTGGGTTGCATTCATTGTAATGCCAAATGCAGTATTCTTTTATTACCTCTTCTATGACTTTTACGATAAAGCATACAAAAAAGCTACAGTAAAGAAGGACTAACATCAAATGAATTATTGTTGACTGTATATATAAAAAAGCAAGTGAATTATATTTAATTATTAGAATATAAAGTATTGTTTAACAAACAAGGACCAGCGAACAAATTGAGTTTCACTGGTGCTATATTACATTAAGAACTCTGTCGCATAGGTTTTAAATTATTGTTTATTTTATGTATGTTTTCAAAGGATGTGAAACATTAACTTATGTCTAAGCTGATATGTTTTCGTACTTTGTGTTCAAACAAAAGCCTTTTCATATCATTTAACAATTGTATTTTCAACAACTAAACTGTGAGAACTGTGTGAAATAGTATTTTTCTAATTTTGGATACTTGAAGATCACAAGTAGATGGGAATTAAATAATAATGATGTATGTAAACATTATGAGATGTATGTAATAATTATGTAAACTGATATAATTGCAATGTCATTCTTTTAAAATAAATAATTTAATATATGTGAAGCCAAGGAATAATATCTTACTTTGTTTAACAAATTAAAATAAGACAATACTGCAGTAGTAATGAAACCTACTTCTCCATTAAGTATCATAGAAAATTTAAAACCTGATTTTAAACTTTCTGTGGAGCTATGAGTTGCTATGGTTCTTTAATGTTTTTTCATATAAATTTTGAGCTTGCACTCACCCTCACGTGGTCCTCGTCTAAGTGAAGAGACATGACTGTTATGTATAACAATATTGTTTTATTTTTATGTACATTAATGTTTTATTGTTGATTATTACTTATTTGTTATTTATTTTAAGAAATTAACAATTAAAATTGTAATTATTATATATTTTAATTTTATGTACATAGTTTTGAGATAAATACAAAACCCACAATAAAATGTGTTATTTTAAGGATTCCTTGAAAATGTTTTCATTCCTTTTTATAAACAAAAATCGTAGATATTACATATAGTTATATACATATTATAATTTATTAAATTCCAAAGGTATCTAAATAATATCATTTATTTATAATTGCCTACAAAAATACCACTCTCCACAATGGTAATAATTCTACAATGGGTGAAATGAAAGCTATGAAATTCGCCCAACAATGTTACAACCACATTGTTAACACATGTGTAAAAAATATTGTTTAACAAAAGGTAATACCACCTCATAACTAACTTCAGTGCTTAGAATTATATATATTTTTTTATTCACTTCTACTACACTGAAATAAGCTGATCAGTAAAATACTTCCAAAATGATGAAATAATATTGATTGATAATATTAATAAAATTTATCAATGGATGTTATGCAATAAAATAAAACATATTTACAGTTATTATAACTCCGTAAGTGCAGAAATCACTTTTAGATATTCAAATTAATAAAAATGTCACCATATTTTGAATATGAATAGGTATAGAATATTCAGAAAACAGATGTAATAGCTCATTGAATTTTCATTTAATAGTCCAGTGACAAAATTAGTTCTTCCTCCAGCAATGATATTATTAGAGTTTAGATTATTTATAATTATATCACCTTTACATTGTATCGACAATATAAAAAAAATCAATAAATAATTAAATAATTAATTTATGAACCTCCAAAAAAATATTTTTATATTGAAGATAGCTAGAATACATACCATCAAACACTGCAATTTCACTTACTGAAAACAAAAGTTTGAAGAATTTTATAAAACCACATAACATTAGGGTGGTATTGTTAATAATTAAAACTCTTTCAAATGTTGGATTTCTCTGTGATTTCTATATAATTGTACAGCAATAACTCTAATTTGTTGAAGAATATTTTTACCAAATAATATTGAACAACAATTATACATAAAGGAAACAATGTATTTCATATAATAAATAATCCATTGTATATAAATATTGTTATTTTAATTTCCCAAGTGCATTTATCATTTTTAGATATTGCAATAAATAAAAAGTTGCTGTAAACTGTTTATGTTGCCAGGAAATAGCCATAAACCCACTTTAAATTTTTATTTATTAACCCTGTTAAAGTATCAACATATCCTGCAGCAAAGTAATCAATTTCTTAATATATATTATATCCTCAAAAAATTGTATATTCTGATAAAATATTTATGGTATAATTACATACATTTCACACTGTAAAAATAGTTTTTTATCTTGAAAATAAAATATTGTCAACACCAAATTTTCACTTATTACAGTTTATAACTATAAATTTTGTATTTTTTTTTCCACATCCTGGCAAAAGAGCATTTTTTAAAATTATAATTTCAAATAATAATCCATAAGCCATATTAAAATAATTGTTTAGATTGTCATTGTTTTCATTAATATATACTTCAAAATCTTTTCAATTATTATTGTAAAAGTATTTGTTATTGACTCACTGAAAAGATTGAAAATAATTTCATTCCACAAAAAAAAAAATACATCAATGTTATGCACCTCAAATATTTTGGAAGCCAACATGTGAATTTACATAATCAACTTTTTGATTTCAGGACACAGTTATGTATTCTCTGAAACTCAGTAACACAATAAAAAATAAAATCACTGATCACAAATCTTCTAGTATAGTTCTTCAGAAAAATGCCCTTTATAAAACTTTAATCCTGATTCTTTATAGAAATTGACGAAGAAAACATCGTTATTTTTTTAGAAAACAATTATAATTCACTTTTCATAATACTTATGGCTTTAGAAATGGAACAAAATAATATAAGATAATAACATAATAAATACGTTTCACTAGATACACAACAAAACAACTATCGGCGTCGGCTTCTGTAGGCGTAAAGACAAACGACAAGTAAAAAACCCGCGAGGCTGAATAGCCTGGGGTAATTAATGACTTGCATAATTATAGCATCACTACTAATAAATAAATTTTTCAATTTTTCTCTATTTGTTTATTTATATAATATAATTTTATTATTACTATTTAATTAAATTTATTATTTAAAATTAATTAGCATTAATTATTTTTAATTACTTTTATATATGCACGATCAACATAATTGTTTGTTTTTTATGTATAAATGTATACAATGGAGAGTGCTACCAACTAATTTTGATTTGTTTATTTCTAACCATAAATCAGTTTTTTAAACCTTTATAAAGTAGGTACCTATTTTTTTTATTAACGATTGAAACTTTTTAAGCATAATTTTAATTAATTAAATAATAGTTTAAAATACTAATTTATTTAAATATATTAGTTTCTGCCCTATAAATAAGTACTCCTATTTTGTTATGAAATAAAACCTGCCAAATGGACTACTCACAATAATTAAATTAAATACACTCAATGATCGGTTATTTAATTAAATATATTTTTAAACATACTTTCTTAATAAAAATTAGAATTTCTTTCTTTAAAAAGAATTGCTGTTATTAGTGAATTATTAGAAAATTAAAAAAAAAATAATAACTTTTTTTTTTAGAGAATGATGAGAATACAAGGTAAATCAGTTTGCAGAAGAAAAATTTCAAAATTTATTGTAATTATAATTTACGGCAGAAAAAGGTTATTTCAACACAACTCATTTGGGATTATTTTAACTTTGTTTTATTTTAAAGCTTTTTCGTTCATACAACCTTTTTCTATTTTTGAATGAACACATGAAGAATATAATGTTTCTACTATATTATAAAATACCTTCTGAAATTCTTATTTTATTAATTTTTTTAATTTAATTTCTAATTTGTTCCTTTAAATTACAAAATTATATTAGGCCAACTGCTGAATCTCAGTGACCGATAAACCAATTTAAATCAAAGGAATCGACCCGTCATGTTTGGACGCCGTTTTAGGAAAGTGCGGCCACTTTTTTTTGTGGGACTATTTTTTTATTATTTTTTTCAATAAATAGATAAGGAACACAGCGATATGAATTTTATAGAGATGTGGATAGGAGGTGCATGGAAGAGGGGTTTGGAAAACGCCCTACCCTCGCACATCAAGCCTCCTCTCCCACCATCACACCTCCTTCAAAATGCGAAAATGAATAAATGTTTACATCACTGACTCATATCAGACAGGTTATTGATGATAAAAGACAATTGCATATGATAAAAAATGAAAAATAGTTCAAAATTTTTCAAACCTTGAAAATAAATAAAAATTTTGTACCTCAAAAACTATTTGATTTACCGAGTCTGTTATGGCCTTAAATTGTAGCATATTTAATCTAGTTTAAAAGTTTTTAGGATATTTTTCGTCAAAAACGTGCTCCTTCATGGTTATAATGAAAAAAAAAAACGAAAAATTAGCAGTTTTTGGAATTTTCAAAAATGATCCGAGGGGTGTCAGAGGTCGAAAACTTTGATTTTGCATATAAGTCACATCCCATAGAAGAAAATAAAAAGAAATCTTCTACCCCCATTCAATGCAACTTACGATGTACAACGTTACTGAGCTACAAGTCCCTAGCCCAAACTTTTCTAGGTCCGTGTAACGCATTGGCTAGTTATTGACAAACGGTAAGCTGATTGGAGGCATTTGGTTTTTTTTCGACCGTATAACTAACGTATGGTGCTTACACATATTTAAGAACCGGAAGAGAAAGATATTTTTCTGTTTATTGGACTTTGACCGGAGGTTATAACTTTTTTTTTAATCATAAATAGCTCCCTTTACTTCATTTTTAATGTCCTTTGCCTCGATAGATGGTAAATATAAATAATCCATCGGTATAAATTAACAGTGGATTTGAGGTGAGACAAAAGATAGTTCAAGTAGCCTTAAGATAATTACCGCTTACCCGTGGCTAATCTTCCATTTTGAACCTAGTGCACCAGCGTACCCTTGCTGTTTGAATATTCGTAATATAGTTCCTAGAAATATTTTTATTGTTCACCTATTGGGCAAAACATAATTAAATCTAAGTAAAAGTAACAATATATATTAACAATGTCTAAAGTTTCATGAACAAGAAAAATCAATCTATCGTTTTGGCTATCTTTTTGTCAAAAAAGAATTGTCAGACATATGTCTGAGTATTAGGAGCCTTCAAATTCATTTTCTGACTTATACAATTGAAGTTACGTAAGTAATACTTATATTTATGGCTTACTTCTAGTTCATTTCACTAAATACTAAAATATTGTAAGTAACAATTGCTCATGTAATTATTTTAATACATGTAATGCGTCGCACTATGTTAGGGATTTCTCAATAAATAACAAGCAAAAAAAATTATCAGAATTTATTTTTCTCTATAGAAATATTTTTTTATCAAACTTGGTGTAAAATTTGTTTTATGGACTTTCAAGGTTTTTGAGGTAAGCCATGGCTATACCAGAGATGCCAGGTAGTTTCCTGGAACAAGATGTGTCATTAAAATTTTTGAGGGGGGCACATTTTGATAGTTTTTTTTTTCTTTTTTCTGGGAAGTTGAAGTTATTCTTTATTATTCGGCAATTACGACTTCCAATTAACAACAATTGAATTTATTTGTTGTATTTTCAAATTACATGTTTACAACAAGTTAACGTTTCGGAATATTTACTCCCATCTTCAGAACTATTATCCACATGATTTTTTGTTGATACATGGCTAAAAAATTGAGTTAAAATATAGTGCATGTTACAATACATGTCAGAATCGGGTTGTTACATTAAATTTGTAATTACCTTAAATCTAATGTGCTCCATCGTCAGGTTCTAATTCAAGTTATAATAAATTAAGGTATATAAGATCCAGAGCAACATCATGCTTTTAGACCAATTATTGGGTGTCTGCCATAGTGAATACAATTGACCTTTCATTTGACTTTGTAATAGGAGTGCCCAGAAGGGAGTTTTACAGAGTAAGTTGTGCCAACGAAGTTTTTGAGGGGGGCATATTATGACAGGTTTTTTATTTTTTGAGGGGGCACCTTTCAACAGAGTTATAAATTTTCGGAATATTTTCGGAATGATTTCGGAAAGTTTCAGGATAAGGGACAAGGGGAAAACATGGAACAGAATGCAGTGTAATTGTATATAATCTACGATTTTTCTAATTCTACTTTCCTTTGCTTTGTTTTTAACAATAAAATATCTTGGAAGAGGAGGGGGACACATTCTTGCGCCATCGATCTTGGAGGGGAGGAGGATGGGCACCCCCTGCTTTCTGAAAATCTGTAAGTGCAAAAGTTAAAATTATTGACAAGATGAAATAAACCACGTATTGTTTATTATGCAAACTAGATTTTCTCTTAATTTTTTTTCTATGCTTAAGAAAAAGATGTAATGTTCTTCAATAGTTGTTTGTTTGTATTTCTGAATATGAGCACGGCTTAGAATGACTATAAAAGCTAACTTTTTAGCTGGAAGTTTATTAGTTTTATTATTTGACGTTATTGATTATAACTTCGGATAACAGTACTCCAAGTTTACCGCGCTCCACGCAAGGCGAGGAGAAGAGGAAACTACTAAATTCTCGGCCTTTTTACACTTTCTTAAACGGCACCAGGGGTGCCAAGGGGGTTTCATGGCGAAAATTGCACCATCAAATATTTGAGGGAGGCATATTTTGACGGGTTTTTGAATTTTTAAGGGGAGCACATTTTGAAAGGGTCATGTATTTTCGGAATGAAAAGTTTCATACTAAGAGCCAAGGAGAAAACGTGGAACAGACCGCAGCAAGTGTAATGGTGTATGATCTACTATTTTACTAATTCTACCTTTACATGCTCTGTTTTTAAGAAAACATGAGCAATAAAATATCTTGGGAGTGGGAGGAGGGGGGAGGTAGGTTCTTGCGCCATTGACCTCGGAATGGATGGGCACCCCTGAATGCCGCATCATAGTTAAAATTTTATTCTACTATAAATTATAGAATATTTAAATCTGCATAGCAAGAGTAACTCAAATATTAAGTCAGGTTTAGCAGAAGAGTCAAATTGGCAATATAAAAACAACAAATTTACGAATTTAAAGTCTTTTCAACTATAAAACGTTTGTTATTAATCCAAAACATTTAATGGAAGAAGTTGATAGAGGTAAAGTATAAAAATCTTGAGTTGTTAAATTTCGATCATACCTCATAAGTCAGGGATCTCCAAGCTACGGCCGCGAGCCTAATCCGCCACTCCAGAATCTTCAATTCGGCTCGGGAAAAAATCTTGGATTACGTGGTAAAATTTTAAAAACTATTTAAAAATATATAGTCCATAGTACAGACCCCTTTTTTTATCAAATTATTAACATCCTCCTGAAACTTCGAAAATAGCTCAATCTCATCATAACCAACAAATATTTTTTTATGAAAATTTTCGGAATTGGGGTGTTTTCTTTTTGGATATAGACAAATTTTGTCTATTTAATTAGGGATTGTGTGAATGAATACTATAGGCCTAGTACCAATGCCCTTCAGTGTGGCAGACTGTATTAATACTCAATAAAATATAAGGTTTTTATATTTAATTAGGTATTAAAAAACTCGTAAATACTCGTTTGCTTTCCACTTGGATCGTAAGATAATTTGGGCACAAAGTCGAGAAAAAAGGTGACCTTCAAAAATATTGAGCCGTTTGGCGTGATCTTCAGCCCCAAATTGTCAAAATAATGGGGTTATATAGCTCAAACAGCCCATGATTTTTGTATGTCATCTTTCTTATAGATTTTTTGATCATATTGATCATATCATACGCTTCGAGTGGAAACCAAATGGGTATTTTAATATCTAATTAAATAGAAAAAGTTTGACACTTCCAGATTGAAAACGCCCTAATTCCAAGAGATGAATCGACTCACAAAGTTTCAGTCGGATGTTAATACCTTGATAAAACGGTGTCTGTTCCACGGATTAATAGAATTTAATGAATTGCTCAAACACAAGGTTACTTCAACATTTATTGAATAAGTTGTTTCTAATAGAAAGCTCATTTCACAACTGAAGTTTCATTAACAGATCAAAAATTTTTTTTAACCACAATTCATTTCCGGTCAATAATTGAAATAAACAAGGATCTAAGGAAATGCTGGAAGAATGAAAAGAATCTGTAGTTATGCTGATTTATAGAAAGAAAATTAGCCCACATTGTAATAATTAATGAGTTATTTCTAAGAAATAGCAATACAACTGGTAATTCATCAACTTCATATTGATTTTTAAAAAAATCACATGACTTTCAAGAAAAAAAAATAATAAACACTACACCATTCCATGAGACAAATAACTTGCTACACATCCTAACAGTTTCAGATACTGCAATACAGTACAATAAAAACTTTCACCAGACACTGACTTACAACACGAATCCATTAGCCCAAGCACTTATTTCCAATACTAACGCATACATCTGACCCAGACGACTTTTGAGGCGATCCAGAAATTTTCATACTTAATAGATAATGTGCCCTATAAATATATAATGTGCACAAATTTGCTTATTGCAAAAACTTTACAGATGACAAATTTCAAACCAACCTAACTTGTTTAAATATATATATATATATACATGTGTATATATATATATATATATATGTGTGTATATATATATATATACACATGTATGTGTTAAAAAAGAGTCAATGTTTTAAAAAGAGAATACATGCAATTGTTTAAGTATTTAGCTGAGATCATTAGTAAAAAGTGAAAATCGACTCCTCCTTTTGAACAATAGTGGTACTTATGTTCTAATTTCAAAGCTTTATTATAATATTTGTAATGAACTATGATGCTACTTTTTTTATGTAGTAACTGATATTTAACCATGTCTGATTATTCTTTGGCTATGTATGATAGTTGGGTATGTAAAATGTTTAGGACATAATAATGAGCGAATCTCTTCAACGTAAATAAATGCTGAGCTCTCTGGTACAAATCTGAGGCATTGGATGAAATGTAGGTAGGATTGTATTAAGGATGACCTCTTATGGTGATAAAACTACTATATGTGATAAGATTTCAAATTAGTCTAAGTGATTTAAGAGTGAGATACTAGAATTGATAATATGACTGAATCCAGAGGTGTATGGTTCCAAATCTCCTCTCACTCCCAAAATCTCAATACTTACCTTAGGTATATTATTATATGTTAATATATAGTTCTGTTTTAATCTTTTCTCAACCAAGGAAGGGTTTATTTAAAAAAGAATCCTGTTTAAAGTTAATGATTAAAAAATTGTCCAAAATATTGTTTTAGTAGGATATTATAAGTAGGAACATACTACACTAGAATACAACACTGTCGTAAGAAATTAGCACAAAGTGAAAAAACTGCCGAAATAAACATAATTAACTTTACAAAAAATCATGTAACAGTTATCGAAGGAAATGAACAATAAAAAAAGTATCCCAAATCATGATTATAAAAAAGTATACATATTAAAAACATCAAAAACAAAATATTTGAAACTTAAAAGAATCATAAACATTGGGTTATAAGAAAGAAAAACAGATAACAGATAAAAATAATTTAATTTAACAATAATTAATTACATATCTTATCACATTTCAAACATAAATGCCGAAAATTTTATAAATTCATAAAAAAGGACGTGGTCAATAATTGGAAACTTTGTTTGTGTAGCACTGAGAATTGTAATTTAAAAACAACATTTCATTTACAGAAAAATAGCATATTAAAGCCCAGGCATTATGTATGCTATGTTATCCATAAGCTGTGATAATTGCTCTTGTGGAATGACATTCAGCTGAGGTACTTGCTGTGTTAGGCACAACAATGGTCCCAGGGCACAAAGAAGAGAATCAAGAAGTACTGAAAAACTTCCTGACACAGCAATTTGTCCCTGCAAACAAAATCAAGTTTTCATTAGAACACAATTAGAAAAATATTTTCCATCATAAATTTAATAAAGACTAAAAGACTACCTAAATAGTAATATTTTAATTTTTATAGCCTATAGGGAAAATGTATCATCAAGATACTTTCGAGAATTATAGTTTACCTCAAATCGATGGTTTACTACCTAGTACCTTTAGAATAGGTCTTGATATCAGCGTCAAAATCTTATTCCGTCTCAATATGTCGGCTTTTGGGAACCTTCTGAGTTTAGAAATCTTCAAATTTTTTTCGATGACATTTATTGCAGTTTTAAAAGGAATTTAAGAAACAAAATTGGGATTTGTCATTTCTTCATGAAATTGGCTTTTGTTTCATATCTCATTGATCAATATCCATCATTTCTGAGAACCAGAAATGGGATCTACACATATCAGTAGTTTTTCATAACATAATTTTCATTAAACAGACAGAACTGCTAATTCTAAAGTCGAGCAACGATCCCAAAAAGTCTGATGAAACCTTATTCCAGAATTTACTTATGTTCAAATTAATCAGAAAGGAAAAGGGTATATATCTGATGCGAAAAAGGGAAAGAGAGTTCTCACATGTATGTATACTAGGATAGTATAATAGAATTAAGTAAAATTGAAAATTCCACATTTAAAATAAAAAATACCTCATGTTCAGTGAGCCTTTCACCAATTATTGTTAATGATTCACCCAGAAGCCTTAAATGGGCAGCAACATCCAAAGGTGTGGTCCCAACAGGCTTAAAGACACCCGAATCCAGAGCTGTAGATCCTTTATTACTCCTGGACACAAAATAAATAAATAGACAAAATTAATAGTCAAAAAACAAATTTTACAAACTTCATAAGTTACAATATGTACAGTAGTTATCTTAAACTGGATCTTAAAGTGGATATTCATTTTTTATAATCTGAATATTTGACTAAGGATAGATAGATGTCAAATATATATATGTTAATTACCATATGATAATTTGCATCAATAATTTTAAGGCAATTCTAAACAATAACTAACTTTTTTCATGGAAAAGTGAGGTAATCTCAAGATAGTCAATTATAGTTAACTTTAAATTCCAGGGCTTCTATTTTAAATTAGTTCTAGTATGACTGGAACTTTTATTACTTTCACTTACCTATATATGAAATATATAGCAAGGGAAAGTATTGCGATCATGAAAATTTTTGAATCTCAGTTTTCAACGGAAATACATGTTTTGAGGTCCACTGAGTCGAAATAACCAAGTTCCCCAAAATGGTCTCTGTGTGTGTGTTAACAGTCTAGCTCAAAAACGAAAAGTCGTACAAAAGTGGAATTGCATATTTGATATGCAAATTTTTATATGCTTCGGATGTTACAGCAACTTTTTCATCAAAATCGGATAACCAGAAGTGGCACGTTATATCATGGGCTAAACACATTTCACGATTTCCTCTAAAACGGCTCTAACGATTTTGATTAAATTCATTATATCAATTAATAGGCTTCCATACGTAACATGAGCTTAATATAATAAGGACTACAACAATATTATGTAAATATACACATGCGGTTTTCATAAATGCTATTGTTGGTATTATTTAATTGCATAGATTACAGCTATATAAATATTAAAATTTGTATATTACAAAAAAAATTACTTAAAAGTTCTGTTAAAAAAGTTCATTTGACCAAAAAGTAAATTTAAAAAATGGTAATTGTGCAACAATCTCGATATGGGAACCAGGCAATTCATTCGAGATAATTATATCTGCAATGTAGGCCCAATCACTCCTTATTTCTCATTTAACATAACTTTTTTTAATTTTGAAGGATATAAATAAAAGAAAGTTAAACTTTTACACTAAACCCCAGAACATTATTTTTTTAAAAATAATTTAAAACTTTTAACTAAAAAGTTTCATTGAGACTGTTAAAATGGAACCTTTTAAAAAAAAAATGTTTAACATTTGGTAAATTCTACTTGCTTGACAAAACCGATTCTTCTAAGTAAAAAGGGATCATTACAAAATGGGTGAAAATTTTATGATAAAAAACAACAACCTAAAACTAATGATAACATTAATTTCATACTTGGTTTCAGGTGATAAAACAATATTATTGGAGGTTGCAGGGGACACACTTTGTTTGTTAATAAACTTCCGAGATGGTGGAGATTTCATTTTTTTAGTTTCAGGTATGGCAACTGTTTGCTGATGTTGTTGTTGTTGTTGCTTAGCCATTCCTCTTGCTGCCAATCTTTTAGCACGCCTTTTCCATATCTACAACAAACCAAACAAAATGCATCAAAATAAGTGAATCTCAATGGATTGATAAAATTATTTGTAAATTGATCAAACTTGAAAGGATAATATAATATTAAATATAATTTCAAAACATGACAAGTAATAATATAGGCATTACAGAAATATATGAAAATACAATAAACTTAATAATATTAAATTAATAAATGAAATAAACTAAACAGTCTAACCCAGACGTCATTTTTAGAATTGTTATACACCTATTGGTTCTGTTATAAGATATCAATCATATTTTAGAACCTTTTATTATTCCCAATATATTACTACTATTAATATTACTACGCTATCAGCAGGAAAACATGAATATTACTAAAATAAAAAACAGTGCTATGGCTCACCGACAAAAATATGGTACTGAAGAAATGAGGAGAGAGTGCAGGAGAGGGAACATATCTGTCCCCACTCCACACAATTGACCTGTATTATATAGTCTCAAATAAAAAAAAGAGTAAAAGGTATGGCATAAAATTAAGTCAATACAATAGGAAAAAAAGAACTATATATATAACAAGTATCACTTCTTGTAAATAAATCTAATCAAAATAGCATCAACAAAAAATTTGATCTATTTTCTAATTAGAACGGAAATAATAATGACAATAAATATAACATGTCTTGATAAAGCTGAAAGCTGAGAACATTTTTTCTCTACTTTGCCTTTTGGTAATACAGTTTTTTGGCAGCAGTGAGATATTGGGAAATGGAATATACACCATCTTTAGAATCTTTATGAAAATCAAAACCATTAGGACTTTGCTCCATAATCCTAGCCCAAGTTCAGTACCCGAAGGTAGCTTGAATACGATGGAAGCTTCCAAGCTAAGTTCCATGGTTTTGCGAAGGAGATTAATCAAAGGACAAAAAACAAGAGTATTTTAAGTGTAGATTTTCATTAATTTTCAAAAGATATATATTCAAAGCAGTACCATATGTATAATTAAATACCCCACTTTTGCAAAAATATGGAAATGGGAAAAACAGGGTTATATGTCAGCATCAACCCTTTAGCTTTAACAATGCATTTAGTATTACTGGTAATAAATGAAAAAAATATATTTATATTCATCAATTATAAAGTCCCATTATTAAAAATAATAAGCTCAAAGCAATGCATCACTAATAAAAGATTTAACAAATAAAACCGAAATTTGAAAAAATAAAATAAAAATGCCTGCTGTGTACCAAGATGACCTACCGGTGCTGTGCAGTACATATGTATCTATCTGTTTATGTTCGGCTACACTCACTTAGAAGAAGTACCTTTCATTCTTTTGACTACTGGCATTAAAATTTGAAGGAACGTATACAAGCTGAGCACTCGTAACAACTTTCCCAAAATTTATTGTTAAATTTCAGCTAATTTCCGATTTTCCCTACCATGTTAAATCCTCTACATCTTTCTGAATTTTCCTATTGATAGAAACCCTGCTTATATTTCTAACCACCTCAGACGATGCTCTAGTATTTCGATGATAGTTTTAACAAAGGCTCACTCAAATCGCAGTTTTCCTTACAATCTGTTCTTGTCTTTTCATTAATTTTTCTAAGATAACGAATTTTCACTACTTGGTTTTGACTCTTGTGTGAAGTTTTAAGGGTTCTTTGTATCAGAAGGAATATGGGTACTTGTTAAATAGCTAGTAGTGTCAAAACCTCCCTTATTATCTAATCTTATTCCACATAACCTCCCTTCTTATCTGCTCTAACCTAAGTTATTCCATTGTTTATTTTTTGTTCCTTGTGTAAGCTGTGAGTTAGTCTTATTTTCATAAAATTATGGATGTTGTTACAATGTGGGAATTGCCGTCTTCAGAAGAAGAAATATATCAAATATTTTCAAGGCGCTGGGATATTTGCAAAGATGAAATATTGTGATGAAGGTCGTGAATGAAGTTCGACGGGAAAATGAAATGGAGAGGCTTTCGTACTTGTAACAAAACCGTTCCTATAAGAAAAGGAATGTGGTTAGAGGGGTCAAGGATTTCTCTTTTAACGGCTTTAAAATTCATTTATGGAAGGTCCCATAATTTAACAATACAGTGGGGAAAAGAGCAGCTGAAACTATACCAGCCAACTATCGTAACGTGGACCATATTTTTAAGAGAGGTTTGTGCCCATAATATGTTATACAGGCCAAGTAAAAAAATTGGATGGCCTGGATGGGGTCCATAATCAACACATAGAGCGATAATGGGGCTCAGCCAAGTGGAGGAATAAAAAACATAGAGGAACTGTCAGACAACACCTCGATTCATATTTCTGTGAATTTTTGTGGCAGCAAGCTCACAGAGAAGAGGATCCATTCCTTGCTATTTTAAATAGCATAAAACTATTTTCCCTACCAAAATAAATTAAATTAAAATAAAATTGTTTTGAAGGTACATATTTTGTTTATAGTGTTTATATCGTTTCTTTTATATGCACATTTGTTCTTTATAATCTTCATAGTATTTCTTTTATATGTACATATGCTGTTTAAGTGTTTTTTTTTTTTTTTTATTATTTCATTTATTTTTCTCTATTTTTATTATTTCACTTATTTTAATATATATGTTGTAAAGTATATAAATTTGAACTAAAAATGTATATCATGTAAAACTAGAAAAGAAACAATTGTAATTCATGTAGTATGTCTTTAAGGCATGGAGCATGAAGGAAAATCAAATAAACGAGCCTTGTGTGGGGTTACCACATAGGGAAAAAAAAAAAAAAATGTGATGTTTTTTCATTATATATGTATGTATAATGTTTTTGTCTATTTAATATATATCTTGTAAAATAAAAGTATTTTTTTATTATTAAATTTGTTTACAATTTCAATAATATGAATATAATACAATAAATATGAATATGAAGATATTATGAGGGGCTTATCAGATTTATCAGTATTAAGGTTATAAACATTGGCAGATAGCAGTCAGACCCAGCCAGCTATTTAACAAGTACCGAAATATGTTTCAAATACTACATTTTTAGCATGCTTTGAAATTTCTTTATATGCTAGAAGGACTTTTTTCAACAAACAAACATCTCCCTATTTCTAATTTAACATCCTTATCGTATTTTTTATAGTGCTATCTACTTTTCAATGCTCATTTTGAAAGGATCTAAGATATCTATCATTGCTCAGCTGTTAAATTACATTAAGTTTTTTAATGAGACATCAGATAATTATAATTTATTAAAGTGTATCATTAATTAAATTTTTTTTTTTTTAGTGTACCCTTAATTAAAATTGAATAATTTTTCCAAACACCAAAACCAATCAAATAGTATATCCACAATCCTTTAGAATTGTGATATCCTTTCACACCAACAAAGGCAAGCATTTGCGCAAGTGAGTTAGAGACCAAACCAAATTTTCTAATCTCCTCAGCTGATTATTTAAAAAGAAAGAATAAAGATATACTTTTGCTTGTATGTCCAAATTGCTAAACTCACAAATAACAAGATGAGTTTTGAAATAAATAAATTTCAGTTGTACCCAATAAGCAAAACTTGGATATCAAGTAAAAATATCTAATCCATAGAGTACAGATGCTATATAGAAACATGTAATATCTTAAAAAGAGATATTGGTGCGATGAAACAAGTAATTGGACAGATAAAAAAAGGAATTCAAAGGTTTATCTGGTTCATGAAATACATAACTTTCGTGTAAATAAATATTTATATAAAATAATAATAAATAGATCTACTGTAATAAGTATTAAATACTTACATATTTTTCATGAAAAGGTACTGATGCCCAAAGCTCACCTAATTTCTTGCTGGTTTGTGAAAAATCTGAAATCAGTAATCAAGAACTCTTAAATACTGGGTTATAATAATGCCTTGTCTAACTGATAGCTGAAAATGTAAGGTTCCTAAATATGAATAGAATAAATTGTTTTAATCATGGAAGGCATAAAATGTTAAAAATCACTAATCTAAGAGGTGTGAGCAGACATACACCTAAATGAGTGTTAAGTATTTTAATGATTACACCTTCACACTCACAGAGGAAACAATGTTTTTAAAAAAAGCAATTGCACTAAAACATGAAGAAGCCACTAAAGAATAAACTGAAATATATATACTTACAGAATATGATTCATGCTTCAAAATTGTACTAATACCAAAACATGCTTACAATAGTTACAATGTAAAACAAGTCAATGAGAAAAATAAAATAAAGAATTATATATCTATTTAAATATGTACTTGAACAAACTTAGAAAATCAAAAGGGAGAAGTTATAATATAGAAAAATTGTGAAAAAAAAAAAATACATTACTGAAAATCATCATGAATGATCAAGGATTCCTTTACTTATACTATTAAAGAAAATATTCTTAAAAATATGAAAGTACTAACCAATTATATTTGAAAAGTTTTAAATATCTGGTTTAGTTATTAATCAATACCATAAAATAAAATAATGATATAAGCTTCACAGTAACTGATTTCCAAGCCTTGAATTGTGCATTGTTAATATTTTTGGATGTGACATCGGTCTGAACAAAATTCTGGGAATAACATTCACTTGTTAGTATTGTATAGAATGTTCCAGACTTTCACATCCTTACTAAACTAACTTCTTAAGTATTTACCTATTGCAGCAAAATAATTAGGAAATCAAAATCAATTACCATTATCATCAAATCTGTATAAATAGATGAATTAATTATAAATTACTGTAGCAATGATACAATAAATCAATTATTAATTCTTAATTATAATTAAATAATGCCTATATTATTACTTGCATATACTGTACTATTACCCTGCCAGACACAGGCTATTTACAGCATATTTAAAAATGAAAGATTACATTGATTGAGTAACTAATTTCATTATTATACCAAAAAAATGAGATTAAGATGTTTCATTACAATGGTCATCAAGAAACCATTACATATAAGCAGCACAAAACAAAACCCAGTTTATGATAGTCCACTATTACAATAACAAAACTATTGATGGAAACAAAAAACATGAAAATTACAAAAAGCTTTACAAAAAAAATTAGAGAAAATAATGGGAATAAACTCAAACTTTTCAGGCTGGCTTGTTTTGCCAAAACCACTAATTATAACTATAACATTACAAGTCTCAAAATAACATTTAATTTGACTATATCTATATTACAATTTTGGAAACCCAAACTCAAATTATTTTAATAATAAGTATAATTATCGAATTAATTCACATAGAATATTGCTCAGTGAACAACCGTCAATATAATATAAAAATAAGTTAATGATATGTATTATGAGAGAGAAGAAATCATTTTCTTTTTCTCAGTCACATCAAATTAGTTCATTCAAACTAATAATCACAAACATGTGTTCATTACTAAAGGCTGTATCTTTATAAACAATGGTCCGATTTTAATTAATTTTTTTTTCATTTTGTAGGGAATTTAGTAAATTTTCAAATAATCATGGGTCTAATCTAATCATAAAAAATGTATACTTTTTAAGTAATTCGCAAATAATTAATGTTTTTTCTGTTCATTTTTCCTAAAATTGGTGTATTGAGGTTTTTATTTTTTTTACATAAATCAGACCAATTATCACCAACATTTTAGTGATAAGATATTAATTATGACGTTTCGACCATACTAAGGGACATTTTCAAGTCTTGATGAGTCCTCTATTATATATTCATTATTAATGTCGCAGTAATTTGTTCAGTGAACATTAAATTGTCCTGCAATTTAATGTTCACTGAACAAATTACTGCGACATTAATAAAGAATATATAATAGAGGACTCGTCAAGACTTGAAAATGTCCCTTAGTATGGTCGAAACGTCATAGTTAATAGCTTATCACTAAAATGTTGGTGATAATTGGCCTAATTTATGTAAAAAAAATAATTAATATTTCTTTTCATTCATAACTTTTTCTTCTGAAATTTCAGGTGGATGTTACTATGATCCGTCACTGCTCTATTTAATACTCTTTTGTTTGATACCTCATTCGGAAAAATCCATCACTCCTGAGATGCAAAAAAGGAATCGTTACAGTGAAAAACTATAGCATTATATTATAAAGATAAATTGTAGCTCGTACCAGTTGCCATTCATTTTATACTTAGAAAGTTCCTATTCCCAATTACAAACAAATAAAATAAAACTCACATTTTTCTATCTAAACTTTAGATAAAAAATTGTGAAAATAAAAAAAAAAAATTAAATATCTGCTTTAATCTATACATCTTAGGATCTTAAGTTTAGACCATAGAGTCTAAACAAGCCATTATTAAAAATAATAGTGGTATGATGGTTGACTAATTGAAGAGAGCTTGATTGGGGAGTTCAGTCAAAAATAAATAAGTGATATTTATTTTTATATTTGCCAACGTTTTGGCACAGAGTTCAGGCCTTTATCATGGCTAAGAAAAAACCAGATAATAATATGAGAAACTATTAACTTACAAAAAAATAATAATAATGATGATGTTAGGAACATAAAAATAAAATAAAAAAATAATAACAGTAAAAGAGAGGAACTTATGAAATAACTAATAACAATATTAGAGAGGAAGTAATAACAGCAATAGAGAGAAACTTATGAAATAAATAATAACGGCAATAAAGTAGGGGACTGATGAAATAAAGTTGTTTAAATAAACTAAGATGGGTACTAACAAAATAAAAATAATAAAATTAGTTAACAAAACGAAACTAAAAAACTAACTAAAATGAGATAAAATCTAAGTATTAGATATATGTGATGTAGATGCTGAAATATGATGTCTTAGAATGTTAAAAAGAAGTGAGACAGAAAAAGAATAAAATGTAAAACAGAGAAAAGGAATATGAAGTTATATAAAGAAAATAATAGATTTAAACAGAAAAATTAAGATACTGTAAAATCTGACAAAACATACTGATTATATAGAAGATAAATAAAAAGTTAAAATTATGTATTTTTATAATTTTAATTTTTATGTTCTTTGCATTATTGTTATTTTTATTTATTTTTCCATACGTTAATAGTTTCCCATATTGTTATCTTGTCTTTTCTTAGTCCTGATAAAGACCTGAACTTTGGAACGAAACGATGGTAAATATAAAAATAAATCTCATTTATTTATTTGTAATTAGTTTATTTTTGACTTAATACTCCAACTTCTCTTCAATTATTAAAAATGTTGTCATCAATCCAAATATGTAAGCACTTTTTTTTCTCTTTAATCAGACTAAAAACATTAAAAATGACATAAAACTAAAACATATTAAGGGGCCAGCAAAAAATCTTCAACATAAAGAATGCCTTAATTCCAAGTACAGTTCATAGAACATAAATTGGAAAGATAGATGAAATGTATTATTATTGATGTATTTTCTATCTTTCCTGAGTGAACAATTTTTTTGTTAAATGATCCATGTTGTTCATTTTTCAATGTTGTAAATACATATTTCAATTCAATTCAATATATTTCAATGATGTCCAAGTTGTTCAATTCAATTAATTCTCATAAAAAGATAATTTAAATAAATTTTAAATTTAAATTTAAAAAACTAAGAGTTAAATTTAAATTTAAAAAACTAAAAGTTAGCTATGACTTTTTAATAACTTCTTGAATACAATCTATTTATTAGAATATTTAAATTATTTACCAATACATTTTTGCAAATTTATAGAATTTGGATAAAACAAAAATATATCACAAATAAAAATCAGGATCGTTGGAATTAATGGACAGTTGAGGAACATGTTTCATAGGTTCAGGGACATGGACAATCATTTTTATTATTACAATAAAATTGTTACGATTTAATTGTTTTTAAACAAATTTAATTGAAAAGTTCTTGATGAGAAATTAGGAAATTAAAAATTATTGTATGGCTTGTAATGGTGATATAAAAAAATGATTATATTATTTTTGATGAACTAAGAAGTTGTGTTTGCACAGAGAAAGGAATCGGTGTTTACATAAATTAGGGAGAAAGAAAATTATTAGTTGGTCAGAATGTCTGAGTACATGCATTTATACGATTGAGTACTGATTTTATGAGGAAGCAACTGTGAGAACAAAATATCTATACTTACTAAAGAAATATATATCTGTAATTTCCTAAATTGTATTCGAAAAATGTTTAATAATTAATAGGAATATTAATATTTCCTTTCAAATTTATTTGATACATGCTCAAGAAAAAATGGAAATACGATAAATATATTAATATAATATATTAATTAGGATTTCTGAAGAATTTACTATCATCTATACATTTTTTAAAATATAATATAGAAACAAGTTATACTAAATTTAGAAAGATAAAAGGAATTAAATAGCAGAAAAACAAAAAGCCAACTAACTAACAATATGATGGAGATTAGTAATGGGTGTAAGAACTAATTCAATTTTCAGATGCACCAACATTTAAAAGAATAATCATTTGTGCAGAAACTACATGCAGTACCTAAGTCTGGGTTCTGCTTTGTCAGCTCTGATCTGATTTCCTTAGCCCAAAGCATGTATGCTGTAAACCGTGTTTTCTGGAAAGACAATATATAGTATAATAGACAATATATAATTACTAAATATACACTAATATATTGATATAAAACTTGCCCCTTTGTCTTTGCGCTGAGCTTTGACTCGTCCAACAATCTTTCCATCTTTAATAACTAACTTCTTTTTGTTAGACCTTTCCATCGCATAGACAGATGTTGACTAAAAAAACCTACTCATACAATCACGATCCATGCAATTTGGATTTATTTATTTTTTCGGATTTCATAGGAAAATGGATGAGGTCTTGAGGAAAAACAGAGGAATGTTTTTACTCTTTAACTCTAAGCGTTAGATTATCAGGAAACAGTTTATTAATCTAACTTTGTGTTAGAATAAATCAACAACCACCCAGACAAAAAATAAAGAGTACAAACAAGTTATTTACCTGTGTGGGAGAATCATCTACTGAATCACCAACTATTGGTTGAAATCCTTCTGTATCTTCTCTATCAATATCTGGTTCTTCAATATCATCCATATCACTCCCTGAATAAATTAAAACCAAATATTAATCCCAGTTTCTATAGAAATTTCATTGATCTTCTATTGAAACAGTTATTATCTATTCAATAATGTAAAAGTAGAAATAATTAACTACAATCGTTTTTTCATTCCTTTTTTTTTTTCACCCACCATAATCTTCTACGACTGAAAAGTTAATTATTAATTTTTCTAAAATCTTTAGCTTAAAGATTTTAGGTGATATATGATGTATCTATAATACAAAACTTATAAATTTGTTTTCATCCTGGAAAATATTTTTACATTTTTCTCTCCTATAGTTAATTATCAAATTTATTCATCATTTAAATTTAACTATATATTTTACCTGGGAATTCTGTACAAACTCCGAAAATTTCTACATCCTATATACTTCCTCATTATCCGTTCCTACCTAACTGATAGATACTTCAAAGTAAATCACAATAATGCTTATTCATCCCTCTTTTTCCAGTCTGCTGGTGTTTCTCAAGGTAGTATCCTAGGTCCTATCCTTTATACAGCTGATATCCCAACCCATCCTAACATTGTTATTACCACGTATGCCGATGATACATGTGTCCCATCCGTTAATAATGATCCAACCATTGCATCCCAAACTCTTCAATCACATATCATAAACCTTAAAGAATGGTGTCAAAACTGGAGAATTAAAATAAATTCTAATAAATCCCATCAAATTACCTTAACCCTTTGCCGTAAACTTATGACCTCCTGTCCTACAGTATCCTTTAATAATACCCCACTTATACCTGTTGAACAAATCCGATACCGTGGACAAACGTCTAACTTGGAATCCTCATACCAGACTGAAACGACAAGAAACCGCTCGACATTTCCGACTACTCCAACACTTACTAGACAAATGCTCTAAGCTTCCAGTTAATTACAAAAGACTCATATACATGACTACAATAAGACCTATTTGGACTTACGGAGTTGAGCTTTGGGGCTCCACTAAGCCATCGAATTCCTCTCGTATCCAATCCTTACAATCTAAAACCTTCGGAAAATTCTGAATGCTCCTTACTTTGTCAACAATAAAATAATCCATAATGACCTTAATGTTCTTTATGTTTCCGATTTGGCTGAATCCAGATACCAATTCTTCCATAATAAACTTCAGAACCATCAGAATCCTCTCGTCTCTAACCTTACTTCCTCTTCTATCCCTGATAACCCTCCGAGGCGTCTGAAATGAAGATGGCCTCGAGATCTCCTATTGTAAGTATTTTTTTTTAGAGTGCTACCAGTGGGTAGTTTCTCAACAAGTGATTTCATGTTATTATTTTCTGTTATCAAATTTATTAAATGTGTTTTATTTATTAATACAGTTGTAAATGTCATAAATAAAAATATATATATATATATATATATATTTTGAACTAATTTATAAGTATATATGTGTTTACAATATATACATATATATTTACTTGTTTAACTATAAAAAGAAATAAACAATTCAATAAAATTATGAAAGATGCACTAAGCAAAAAAAAAAAAAAAAAAGTGAACATAACAACAGTGTAGATGCTTTTAATGATAAGAAAACATTTTCCGAAACATTACATAATGTAATAGGTAATAGAAATGTGATAGGTAAACAAATATACCTATATATAAGTCACAAGGAAGTTATAATTGTCAACTTAAGAACATATGGTTGAATGTTGAGAAAAATTTTACTTTAATTCTTAAGTAATTATTCACTTAATTATATCAATTTCAACCTATTAAAACTCGAGAAATTGAGATTTACAGACCTCCAAAGTCTGTTCTAACTTTGTGGGTATAGCCATTCTGAAGAATGGCACCCGAAGAAGAAGTCCTAACCATGAACGTTGAAAACTCAAAACCTAAAGAAGTCACAACAAGAAAATCTTTTGCCTCAATTGCAAAATCAACCTTGACTCCAAAGAAAGACCAGGGTATTGTATTCACTGCAATTGAAAAAACTTCCATCTTGAAATATATCGTAGGAGTTGGGGAACTGATAGGCCCAGGTAATATAATTTTTTCTTCTAAGATCTCTAATAACCGAATCGTTTTGTTTCTGTCAAACAAACAGCATGTATTAGACTTCCTTCAAGTACACAAGGGTATTACAGTCGATGGTAATTTCATTCCAGCACGCCCCCTTATTGTACAATCAAAAAGAATTGTCATATCCAATGTCCCTCCATATCTCCCCAGTATTCTAATAGAAAATAAGTTAAAAGAGATAGATATCAAGCTATACTCGGCAGTAAATTACCTTCGCGCAGGGATCAAAATACCCGGGTATGAGCATATCCTCAGCTCCAGAAGACACACATTTGCACAACCGGATACACTACCTACTTTACCTGCTAACTTTCTCGTGGAATTCGAAGGAGATACCTATAGGTTGTTCCTAGATGGTGACGAAGTTAGATGCTTTTCTTGCCACGAAGAGGGACATATAAGCAAAAATTGTCCACTCAGCGAAGTTAAAAATCCCGATGAGGCCAATAACTTGGCCGTTTTGCCGTCAGCCGTTAACAGTTTGGTTGAAGCCCACGAAGAGCTGATGGAGGACAGGGGAGAAAACACTTCGTTTACCACAAATGACAATAATACAAATATCTCTCAGCATCTCGATTTTACAATCCTGAGTAAAGATGGCCCTGTAGCAAACCCATGCCCTGCTAAATCGGAAGATTCACAACACAGTGCAACAATCCAAAATACACAACAAAGTAACACTAAAAATAAAACTAACCTAAGAACAGTAATCACAGAACATATGTCTGCTACTCCAACTGAGATTCCTTTCAGTATAACCTCATTAAAAACAGGCAAACTAAAAAATAAACAAACCGAGAGTATAAAACAAGAAAAAATATTGAACAAAAGTAATAAAATAACGAAAACATTAGTTCCTATGGCAAAACGAAAAAACAACAATCAAACAATGAAGGAAATGTTAGAACCAATTCGTATTTTAGTCACAAATGACCACAAATATCCCTTAGCTTACTCAAAATTATGCCTCTTTCTTGAGATGGCTCATAATGAAAAAGCCAGTAACATCAAACAACTTGCCACACAGTTTACAAAAAATATCGATGGATTGAAAACTATGCTGACTGATGTAAGGCACAAGTTACCCAACAGAGGAATGAAGATTAGAGTATCAAAAATTATTAAAGAACTAAGTGGTACTGTTTCTAGTCCCAACACAGAACTATTTTCAGACTCTGACGATTCAACGCTTTCTAGTGTTGATCTTCAGGCCAAAAAATAAAAAAATGTTTAACTCCATGGAGCAAATAGTTCAGTGGAATTGTAATGGGTTATTTCGCCATTTAGAATTTTTTCAGAAATTAATGAATGAAGAAACTCCACTGTGCTGTTGCATACAAGAAACCCACTTGAATGAAAAACATGTCTTAAATGTCAAAGGATATCGAGCCTACAGAAGGGATAGACAAGGAGCAGGGAGATCTTGGGGTGGTGTTTTAACCCTTGTGAGGGTTGACTTATTCTCCGAGGAATTAAATTTAGACACACACATAGAAACAGTCGCAACAGTAATCAAAGGAGCTGAACCCCTGACAATTTGTAACATTTACATACCATCCGCTGTCGATTTCTCAAAGGATGACATTGAACACATTGTTAATCAGCTACCAAGGCCGTATCTTCTTTTGGGGGATTTTAACGCAAATAGTTTTCTTTGGGGCTCCCCACTACCAGACATTGGACATAGAGGACACAGCGTTATTAAATTTTTAGAATTTAGCAGCACTGCTACTCTTCTTAATACCGGTTCATTTACACACTTCGGCTCAGGAAGTAATAGTCTCTCTGCCATTGACTTAAGCATCGCGGACGTCAGATTGGCCCCCAAATGCATCTGGAGAACTAAAACCCACTTATATGGAAGCGACCATTTCCCCATCGTTATACAGGTTAATGGGCCGTCTCTTCCACAAAATATAAAGCGACACTGGAAGTATGAGGCAGCTGATTGGGAATCTTTTCAGAAATCAATTATATTGGCCAAGGATAATCTAGAAAGAACAGCTAATAACATAGATCTTCAGGTAGCGAATTTGAATAATATTATTCTGCAAGCAGCCTACGACAACATTCCAATCACAAGTAATGGTCTCCTTAAGAAAAGAGTTCCATGGTGGAACGAAAGATGTCAGGAAGCAGTGAAAGCAAAAAAGCGGGCTTTCAACAGGTACAAAAGAAGTAGGAGTTTCAATGACGCAGTTGAATTTAAGAGACTTCGAGCAATTGCAAATAGAACTATTAAAGATAGTAAGAAGTCATCGTGGAGAGAATTCGTTTCCTCTATTAACTGTGAAACACCAGTTACAGAAGTATGGAACAAAATTAGATCTATTCGTGGAATTAACAAAAAAAACCAATATCAGGGATAGATGTAGCAGGGAATATAATAACAAATCCATCAGAGATAGCAGAGACATTGGCACAACAATTTTGTTAACCATTGATTAGTTGCCTCAATAATAAGGAACCAGCGGACATTGCAAACCAAGGAGTAATGCCAAGGCTACAAGTGCCAAGTTCTAATGTTTGCTATGATGAACCTTTCACATTGAAAGAAATGGAAATGGTAATTAAAAAATGTCGTGGAAAGTCAGCAACAGGTATAGACGAAATTTCTAACGAAATGATAAAACACTTACCAGATGAAGGTAGATTATACTTACTTCAAATATACAACGAGATCTGGGATGCTGGTGAACTCCCTAAGCTATGGAAAACCTCAATTATCACTCCGGTCCCAAAAAAAGATATTCCAACCCACCCAAATGACTTTCGTCCTATTTCATTACTATCGTGCCTCTCTAAATTACAGGAAAAAATGGTAAACAATAGACTTGTTGATTACATGGAACGAAACAAACTATTTACCCCCCACCAATTTGGTTTCAGAGAAGGACATTCCACAACTGATGCACTTTTGTTAATGCAACATGAAGCAGACGAAGCATTCTCTCAAAAAGAACATTTGGTTGCTGTCTTTTTGGACCTGGAAAAGGCTTATGATACCATGTTAAGAGGCCGCGTAATGCAAATCTTAGATAATTATGGTGTTCAGGGAAAATTGAAGGCATACATTGAGAACTTTCTTAAAGAAAGAAAATATCAAGTCAGAGTTGGGTCCTCCTTGTCGTCAATCCACGTTTCTCAAAATGGCACGCCCCAAGGTTCACCTCTAAGTGTAACTCTGTTTTTGATTGCTATGAATGATCTACCACCGAATTTCAAATGGCCTATTAAAATCATAATGTTTGCCGACGATGTATTATTATTAGTTCGCAGCAAATCTCTCTATTTTATTGAGTGGAAACTACAGAAAGCACTGAGAAAAGCAGAAAAATGGGCACGAAATAGCGGTTTTAATTTTTCGATAAATAAAACAAAGGCCATGCATATATGCAGAATTAGAGGATGCTCTACGAATCCTAAACTAAAATTAGGGATGGCCGACATCTTGTTTGAAGATCACCAAAAATACCTAGGAATCCATCTAGATAAAAGCTTAAAGTGGACTGACCACATTAAAGGTCTTAAACAAGAATGTTTAAAAAGACTTGGCCTCCTAAAGTGTCTTTCGCATTCTAGTTGGGGAGCTGACAGAAGCAGTCTATTAAAGGTATACAAAGCGATGATCCGAAGCAAAATAGATTATGGAGCATGTGTATATGGAACCTCAAAAAGAAGTATTTTAAAAATTCTTGACCCAATCCATAATGCTGCCTTGAGGATATGCTCAGGAGCTTATAGAACATCGCCAATTGAGAGTCTATATGCAGAATGCGCCGAACCATCCCTCGAGACAAGAAGAGCATTTATGATTGCAAAATATGGGGCCAAAATAATGTCACTTCCACGACATCCCTTACGAGACATCATATTAGATCCAGAAACAGTTTCAATCAATAGCAGTTTCAAGCGAAATATAATCCAAACAACGTTAGCATTCAATATGAACCTAAATTGCATCCAAAAGCTCCCAGATAAAAATTTTCCAAGGTGGAATCCTCCGAATATTCCTACAGAAAAATATATGTCCCACATCTCAAAAAAAACTCTAGTTTCGGATGAAAAAAAATCTTATTTTCTAGAATTATTAAATAAATACTGCAATTACAAAATATTGTACACAGATGCATCAAAAGCCGAAAACCAAGTGGGATTTTCAGTCGTTACAGACAGTGAAGAATTCCTGTACAAACTTTCAGGAGAATGTTCTATTTTTACGGGAGAAGCCACGGCCATAAAAGAAGCACTCTTACACATCCGCAGCAACCACTTCAAAAACCATGCTATCGTAACCGATTCAATGTCCGTAACAGAAGCCATAGAACAATCAACGAACCAGCATCCTGTTATAACAGACATTTTTAACATATATGGTGAACTAAAGGAAGAAAATAAAAACATAGTCCTTATCTGGGCCCCATCACATTGTGGTATCCTGGGTAACGAGAGAGCCGATGCTGCTGCCAACTCTGCCCGGCGTCAAGGAACTGCACAAACCACAATAATTGATGCTATTCCTCGAGAAGATTGGACACACCAACTTGCCTGCTCCTTTCAAAATAAATGGAACATTGAATGGGAAATGAGTTCGGCAAAACTTCAGGAAATAAAAACAACATGTATCAAATGGAACACATCAAACAGAAAGTCTAGACGAGAAGAAGTGATACTATGTCGCCTAAGAATTGGCCACTGTGAGTTTTCCCATGGATACCTCCTGCGAGGATTAGAAGCTCCAACTTGCACACATTGCCTAGTACCCAGAACAGTAAAACATATACTATTAGAATGTAGAAGGTACACCAATATAAGGAAAAAATTTCAAATGGGAACGGAAATGAAAACAATTCTGCAAGATGAAGAGAATGAAATAGAAAAACTGTTCAAATATCTAAAGAATATTCACTATTATCAACGAATATAAAATGGAAACATTAAGCCAATGACCCTTAGGGGTAGAGGCTAAATAAACAAATAAAAAATAAAAAAAATTGTCAACTTCACTTGAACAACAAAAACACTTCTCAACTAAAGAATTAAAAAGAAAAATTAAGAATAAATCTACCTATTTTTTTGTATTACAAACAGGGAGGGAAAGTTATTATTACAAATAAACAAAATTAAAAGTTCTTTAAAAACATTTTGTTTTTTTGTAAATTTTATGAGTTCTCTCTAACATGAACCTCATTACTTTTTCCAACAGGTAATTATAGAATTATTCTTTCATAGGATAACTGTTCCAAATAAATATTACTCTTATAACAACTCATACTAGTCATTTCTTAGAATTTATTTTAAAATAACCCACATAAAAGAGAAAGAACAAAGTAAATAGCAAAAAGTTTTATACAGAGACTGTTTTACTTTATTACTTAATAGCCTAAGACAGCTAAGAACCTCATAATGGTTTAGTTCTGTTTTTATATTGCAATCCACAAGCCACAGCCAGGGTTTCTGGAAACAAATTTGAAATTAAATTTACATCCCCCAACTTTTTAATTTTATTCAAATAACTAATTTAATAAAAATTCTACATGGTCAAAACTTTATTTTTTAAATTTATTTAAATGTTTAACACCATAAAATGCCTATGATTAAGATGGAGTCTACCAAAAAAATATGTTTAAGAGGGAGTCCACAGGCTGAATATGTTTCAGAACCACTGGTCTGGGTTATCAAGAAACGACATAAATAGATGCCAATTTATTACATATTTAAGAAAATAAGATTATAATAATAAAATAGCAGTCACCTATGTTTCATAAGTGAAAACGTAATTTTATAAGACTGAAAATTTAAAAAAAAAAATTTAGCAGAAAAATGGTTAGAGGCAGAAGTAGGTAAACGGTCCCTGCCAAGGATGGTTAAGAAGAATTTTTCAGATACTTGGCAATGCATGGTTTGAAACTTCCTTCTACCTTTAAAATTAATCCCCAGTTTATAAGTTAAGCTCATATTCATACGAGATGTTTAAGTTCTTATAAATAATAGTGTTAAATTAAGAATTCAAGGAAAATCGATTGCCTTGTTTGTTCTAAATCATAACACTAAACACGTAACATATACATATATATAATACCACCTTAAAAATAATTATAACTAAGAGATTATTAATATGGTTCACAATGCAAAATAGAAGCAAAGGAAAGATCAATTATTAACTATTACTACGAAAAACAAATAAGGTCAAAACATTTTAGCCACTAATAATATAATTAAAATTATACAAATAATAAGTCAAGTAATACAAGGTTTTAACTTACCTAATGAATCCATACTTGACTCATCATTGGTAGGATAAACTAAATCAGGTTCACTTTCATCAGAATACACTTCCTGTTTAATAAAAGCTTCTTTGTTCAAAACAAAGTTTCCTGAATCCATCTCTTCCTAAAAACATTCATTTGTTTCATAAACATACTCTGCATAGAACTACACTAGATCATAATACTCACTTCATCTGTCAAAATTTCTTCTTTGATAATTTTTTCTTTCTTGATAGATCTCGCCACTAAAATTATTTCATTGCCTTTGTAATATTGTAAATACAACATAAATAAAAACATGACAAGTCATCTTACATGGAATGGAATAATCTTGTTTTTCTTTCTTTGCTTTTGGAGATCTCATATCAATTTCATCCAACGATTCAAAATCAGTTAATTTAGAAGATTTTTTCCTCACACGCCCAGATCGAGAAACACCAGTAACTTCTAATTCTGATATTAAATATGAAAAAAAAAAATTACAAAATATATAGATTATTTAAAACAAAAATAATAAATAACAATTACCTCCTTCCGTTTTAATTTTTTTGGAACCATACTCAAAGCTGTCATCCATCATAAAAATAAAACGATGAAAACGTAATTAAAATAGGTTTAAAAAATTAGAACTGCTTCTAACATTTGATGAAAGCCTCACACTACAGATGGCGTCTTTCAGGTTTGTTGACATCTACCAACGAGCTTCGAAACGTACATTAACAAAGATGGAATGCGTCATACATTTTAATTTAATAATTGTTACAATTAAATTAAAGTAACGAAATTACTTTTTTATTATTTAATTAAATATTATATAGTAATATATTTACTTAAATATCTTAATTTGTTCGAAGTGGAATCGCTCAGTGTTCCTATACTACAGGTCCTGGATTAGAATCCGGCAGCGAAAGATTTATTTATTCTGCTACATCAATCATGGATAGACCTGGAGTACTGAGGCACACCTAACCTCTATAAAGTGGATACTCTTCATTCTAACCTTTTGTCTTAAATATCGTCATAAGTGATAAACCAAGACACTCGTTACAGCAGAAACCAAAACTTAACATAGAAGTATTTCTATACAAGCCAATCACAATATCTTGTAACTGTCAGACGTTTTATACGTATAGGTAATAAAATTTGGAGATAACTTTCAACCTGTCTTGCTGAAACAAGATAACTAAGCCATAATTCAACCAAGACCAAGTGAAAGCTTAAAGAACAGGAAGAAAATCGACAAGCCAGAACGGAGCGCTATCCCAACATTTATTACTTTCATGCAGCTCCGTGCAGACTTCAAGACAATCATGAATAATCAAATCTTCAGATTCCCATCCTTGCTATAAGCGGATTCATGTGGTGGACACCTCTCTCTCTCTGCCAGGAAAGTGAGACAAATTTTGTCTTTAAAAGTGTTACCACTCAATATTATGATTATTGTGTAACACATTTAGTGCAAGCGTTTTATTATTATAACCATAAATGAAAAATGAATTAAACTAAAATATTTTATAATTAGATCCTAGGTGATCGGAGTGGCCAAGCGGCAATAAAAATGTTTAACATTTATATAAATTAAGGCCGTTATTTTTTATTTATTTTTTTTTTTTTGTTTCTAACTATGCCTCTCTTTATCGGCTTCCGCCATCAGAGATCTTGCAGCCCAGTACCATTCCGATTTGGACGACTTGGTATCTCTTATGTATAACAAGCTCGAGCATACACCTAAATGCGCTGTGTCCATATGTGCTACCGAATTACATAAGTTGCAATGTGGAGAGTTTGCCACTCCTATTCTGTGCAGGTGCTTCCCAAGGTAGTCATGACCTGCTACCATCCCGAACTCTGTCACGACCTCCTTTCTCGGCAGGTTCATGGGTCAACTCGATCCGCTTCATTAAACAAATTTCTCCACTGCTTTTCCGTAATACAGCTCTTTACGGAATCCAGTAATACATCCTCATTGGCCTTTTTTATTTATTTTTTGGTTCTTTGATATGATATTTCATTTTGTGGCTGGCCCAATATGGATCCCTCCTTAGGGAGTTTATCAGCCATTTCGTTTCCATGGAGACCACGGTGACTTGGTATCCACTGTAAGAATACCTCTGTTCCTCTAAGAAGTAGTTCCTCTTTGATATTTTGGCACTTCAGAATATCCTGAGCAAAACAGTCATTTGGCTGTGACACAGCGAGAAAAGCCGCCTTTGAATCCACAAAAAAAAAATTTGGAATCTAAGTGTGACAAGGCTTGCAGTGGCAATAAAATTGCTCTTATTTCGCTGTAGAAATTTGAGGCCCACTTTCCAATCGATTTCGAAATAGCAAACAATTGAGATTATGTACCTGGCCCACCATTGTGTGTTGCTAGTTCGGCCGTTATTCCACCAACATTTTATTTATTTTTCATTTTATCTAGACAACATTTCGGCCAACACTTGGTCCATTTTCAAGTCTTACTATAATTGTTGTTCACGTAACAGATTATTATATTTCTAAATAAATAAAATAAATACTAAAAGAAAAACCTGACAATTAAAAGTACTACGTTTAAACATAAGGATATTCATAAATATACCTGGACATCACCGGATTCGCAAACACGAAATCAAATCGACCATGTCTTGATACAACATAGCTGACCAAGCAGTATAATTAATGTACGGTCTTATCGCGGAGCAGAATTTGGGTCGAATCATGAATTACTAATCGCGAAACTTCGACTAAAACTTAATATAAAAACGAGAAAAGAAAACCGATTCTACTTCGAGAATTTTAATTTGGAATAATTAGAAATCAATTCGAGCTAGGTGTTAATAATAGGTTTAAAGCTTTAGAACCTTCTGACGAGGAACGCGAGGATATTGACAAGTTATGTTTAGGGATCAGGGATAATATTAAAGCAGTCGGTAACTCGTTTCTAGAAAAAAATAAAATAAGAATAACAAATCGTGGTTTGAAAAAGATTGCTTAAACATGTGCGAAAAAAGAAAAGCCGCTAAATTAAATGCTCTAAATAATCCTAGTGAAGACAATCTGGAATACTTCGGAACATCAAAGAATGAAACAACAAAATTTCTCATGGGTGATAAATATTCAGGACGCTGTCTTTTTTAAAAAATGTTTTATTTTTGCCAACGTTTCAACCCAAACATGTGGGTCATCTTCAGGGCGTGGTTTGAGCACTGAGGTTGTTCATATAATGAGTACATGAACAACCTCAGTGCTCAAACCACGCCCTGAAGATGACCCACATGTTTGGGTTGAAACGTTGGCAAAAATATAAAAATAAAAATTTTTTTAAAAAAGACTGCTTCCTGTATATTTATGTAGAACAGTCGACTAACTTCCTTCAAGAATTCAACAAAATTACTCAAAAATAAAAAAAATTTGATAATTGAAAATAAAAAATGACTGAGACATAATAGGGTCTGGAACAATACCAAGAGAACCAACCCCTCCCCACCCTTATTCGTTAAAAAAAAAATCAGTTATACTGTTCCCAATTGAATAAAATCAGATCTCGTAGTTATTCATGCCTCAGCTACAGATACTGCTGAAACCTATCGGAAAATAGTGAAATACTTATCAGAAGCGAATGCGAAGTTTTATATGTATCAGCTGAGACAGGCGAGAGCATTACGAGTGGTGATAAGAAATTTAAACTCTTCAACCACAACTAAAATTATTAAAGAAGAACTAGTGACATTATGTTTCAAAGTAGTATGTCAGGTAACCAACATTTTGAAGGAGAGCCAGGGTTAAGAAATAGTCCTACTACCTGCATGATGGTTTTTTCGTAGACCTAGAACCATCATACACAGGTATTGGCTTGAAATTGGAGAAACCATACATCAAGAAGGAAAACGTGCAGTGCCGCAATTGTTAGGCGTACGGTCACATGAAGACTTACTGTCACCAATTGCCGCGTTGCTTGAAATGCGGAGAACAGCAAAAATATGTTAAGTGCACCAAACCGAAACAAGTTCCTGTAGTTTGTGACCTATGCCTGGAAAGAGGCCCATCAACAAAGGCTGCCAAATTTACAAGAATCTCAAATTCAGATACCAGGAATTCCAGATTCAAGATGAAACAATCACACAAAGAAGAAAACCTTCTAGTATAGTGAGTTCTTGTGTTTCATTCTCCTAATTACTTAGTGGTAAGAACTCCACCGATAAATGTGAAACTCTGCTGAAACAAAAATCTCAACTCCAATTTCAATATCCAATTCCTAATATACCTAACCTCATCAAGATCAAATTTTTCTTTCTTCAAATATCACAGATTTTACCCTTTCTTATCACCTACTCCAATTACTTACTCAAGATTTCCTACAATCTAACGCCATCATAATCGAAACCTCCTTTCCGGTTACTCCTGCATCAGCATATTTCCCTCCTAACAGATCCATATCCAAAGTTCAGTTCAGTTATCTTCTCAACTCCTTAGGACATCTTCTCTTCATCCTAGATGCAGACTTAAATGCCAAGCATCAACAATGGAGTTCAAGAATCACGAATTTTCGTGATAGATCATTGCTGTCTGCACTCAATTCCCAACGTTTTAGTCTACTTTCTTCCAACTCACCTACCTACTTGCCCACTGATCCTAACCGTAATCCTGATATCCTTGACTTTTTCATCCACAGTGGTTTAGGACTCCTTAATAATTCCTTTTCTTGATGAACTTATCTCTAGTCATTTATCCGTCAATTATTAATTTTATCCATCAATTATCTCTAGCTCCTACCCCTAAACCCTCTCCACCGTCCTTCGCTAGAGGCCCAATTAACTGGACACTCTTTCATCAAATCCTTTCAGATAAAATTGATCTCAGAATGATTTACATTCCTTTACCACTACTGTTCAACAAGCAATCTGGACTATTCTCTTACCAAAACCATTCCTCAAAACATAAGACAAATAATTTACCTCAATACCTCAATGACCTAATCCACACCAAATGCTTTGCTGGATTATTATGGAAACGTACCAGACACCCCGCCAATCGCCACTCCTTTAATTTTTTTTTTTTTTTTAAACATTTTATTGAGAAATATTACAATCTGTCACAGTTAAGGACACTTATAATAGAGTTCAGAGAGTACATTCATACCGTATATACAGAAATATAAATAAATAAAGTAATAACAAAAGAATAAGAAAAAAGAACAAAAGAGAAAAGAAAAAAAAAATATATATATATATACACATAAGTAAGTAAAAATAGAAATAAAAATAAAACAAACATCTTTGATACAAACATACCTATATACACTATTTACAATTAGTCAGGTGATCTCCGAACCAATATTGTCCCCCCACATGTGAAAAGTTGTCCCCAAAAGCAAGGCTTAGGAGATCCCTACGCTTCTCCCTCAGCCACTTCACTGGTATTTAAAACCAGCGGAGGACAAGTAAGAGCGCTAAAGCCACAGACACTCATGACTTGAGTGGAGAATCTGGCCATTGCTAGAACTCCAAAATATCCATATTTACAAAAGGTCTCGTGGCCACTGCAGCTTTAACCTACGAAGGGGATTGTAGGGATGGGTGGTGTTTGATAGGGATTGTACAACGGGATTTGGGTGATGAGAAAGGTTCTGGTGAAATTTGGAAAATTTTGCTGGGATAAGATCAAGAATAAATGGGATATTAAGGTCATTATGTAGGG